AGCCAAGTGAACAACTAAATCCAGCTTATTAGTTATTTTCTAATCTGGAATGAATGTCTAGACATTCTATTGGATGAAGACATAGAAGTCATAAGTCATGCTTACCAAATTTATGCGTAACCCAAGCTGGGACACAGAGATAAAACATGACTTGACGATGAAGACTCCAAAAAAACCACAACAGACTGCAACAACCAAAATGAACATGAGAACATTCCATCATAATCAGAGTTCAATGCCTGGGTTAAAAAGAATCAACATTTTAAGCACCCCATGGGAAGATTTAACATGACTGCAGTTTATGTATACAGGACTCAGTTCTCAGTTGATTGTTAAGACAAATCAACAATGTGCAGGGGAAAGCATCAGAACCAAAGGAGGACAGTGCGAACTCCACTAGGTCCTTGCTCCAAGACTATGCCCAGACTTTTGTGTTTGGTGTTGGATGTCTCCAAGCCCGGACAATGAGGATGCTGAGGGTTTGCAGACTCCTGCTGTAGGAGGAATAGCTCAGGGACTGAGCTGTTCCTTTTAGCTGAGAAAAGAGACTTTATAAAGCACAATAGATATCATGAAATACTCAGAGGGATCTCACACAGAGGAGGGATTAAATGTATTCAGAGTTGTTCCAGAGAGCTAAAGGAGAACCAATATAAAGGAGAAGCTAGTTAGGGGAGGAGGATTCAGCCCAGAATGAGATGGCTTTAATGATGAGAGCTGTCCAAATATGGAACAGGCTGCCTTTTGCAATAACCATCGCTTTACAGGAGGGCTGTTGAGGGTTGGAAAGTTGGCCGGGGCCTGCTTTCCAGGTCACTGTTTTTTACTGGGTCTTTTCTGTCTGCCTAGCTTTTTTAACTAGCTTGCCTATTACCAGCTAAGGTCCTCCTTTATTAATTCCTTTGAGGTTCTTTGATCAAATCATCCATCATTCTGAATTACTGTTTCTCTTCTTTTTCCTCTCCCTGTCCTCAATTGATTGAAAATAGCTGCAATCCTTGGAAGACAATAGAGTATTTTCTTTTTTTATAAATTATTTTTTTTTTTTATTTTTTTAAACGTTTATTTATTTTTGAGACAGAGAGAGACAGAGTATGAATGGGGGAGGGGCAGAGAGAGAGGGAGACACAGAATCGGAAGCAGGCTCCAGGCTCTGAGCCATCAGCCCAGAGCCCGACGCGGGACTTGAACTCACGGACCGCGAGATTGTGACCTGAGCTGAAGTCGGACGCTTAACCGACTGAGCCACCCAGGCGCCCCAACAATAGAGTATTTTCAAAACGCATTCTTATTTTTTTTTTAAACCTTGTTAACAAGAAGCACGTTTAGGTCAATGCACAAAATAAATTGAATATAAGTTTATTTCTACATAAGAGAACCTTGATCTTTCTGCCCTTGGGAGGCTGGCTTTATGCTAAATTTTGGCAACCTATAAACAAGTTTCAGAGACACCCACAGGTTGAGGAACCAAGAGCATAAATGGTATGTGACACAGAAGGGGCCAACTCTGGGCTAAAAATCAGTTTCAGTGTAAAGGAGTATTCCCACCTCCCGCAAATAGCAGACTTGCAAAGAACAGTCTCAGAGGTGATGACAATGTGGTAACAGCACCAATAAGAACTTACACATCGCTCCTCTCCGAGAAGCCTTTAATGCTGTCTAGTTTTGTATTCATTAAACCTGACTAACCTTCACAATATTCCCATGAGGCAAGTAGTTCAGAGGCCCTCCTGTTTATTTCACAAATTGGAAATTTGTGAATTTATTTCACAAATTGGAAATCAATGAACCTGGGTTCAGCAAAAATTTGTTGAGGTTCCTCCCATGGTGAGGCCCTTTGCAAGTCACTGATAGATCAGGGATACCGGGACTCATTCATTCCAACAGTAGGTGTTCAGTAAATGATGAGTATATACCAGAGACCTTTCCACATCCTGAGGATGGACAAGAAAGACAAACCCATATTCTCATGGAGCTGGTTTCCTAGTAAGGGGAGACAGACAGTAAACAGCTAAAGAAAAACACAGTATCACAGATAAATGCTGTGAAGAAAATAAAACAATGGGATATCAAGGGTGACTGGGGAAGGTAACCACTTTATGCCCGCCAAGACATCTACAAGGAGATGACATGTAAGCTGAGATCTGAATGATAAGATGGAACTAGGCACCTGACAATCTCGAGGAGACCACTGAATACAAAAGTCATGGTCGAGAACCCCTCAAGAAACTCATGATCACACTACAGGTGCTTACAATCCCAAGTACCCGTGGAGCCATGGAACAGAGACCCAAAGTCAAATGTCCAAGATAATTTCCAGGCGAAGATAGGTAGCAATCCTCCTGCCTGTAGTGCTTCTATCGTTGCCAAGAGATGAGGTGAGGCCAAAGAAATGGTGCAGACCTGGTCTCAGAGGGAAAAGAACCACCAGCCCTCCATTACTACACCCCCACCATGCAATCAATCACGTGTCCCTCCTGGAGGAGGCTCCAATCCTGTGACCTAACCAGTTTCCACCTTGCTTCTCTCAGCGCATTGCCATACACTAGAATTTTGTTTGTGTGTTTTGTGTAGGGTTTTGTTGGTCCTTTTCCAAGTATCAATGAAAACTGCACGCCAGCCTCCACTCCTTGGAAATAATTAAATGAAATGACGTGCCTGATTTTTTCAGCTGGGTAATGCACTGTGATTTGCGTCTGCTGAAGGAATTCATCTTAAGTCCTGAGGCTGAGCCATCGGGGACAACTGAGGTGTTTTTTCTCTGCTTTGGCTCTTGCGGATGGCACACTATCGCCAAACACAAAAGTAGACTAAATGCTTCATTCTGCGACATATTCGCTTAAGAAAGCTGCTCTTTGTGATGCGAATATGTTCACCTTTTGTTCATGAATTCAAGGCAGAGGTCCCTTCCCGTTTAGTAATCTAACTTTACAGAAGAAAAATGCCCTTTATTTTGCTGTCACCTAGGTTTTGTACAGACCTCTGCAGCAAGTCCTCTGAGGTTTAAGAATAGGTTTTGGATTAAAGTCCTTCTTGCTCCTACTGGGGAAATTGGAAATCTAGAAAACAGCCTTGATCTTAATGCCCAAGCGAAGCACCTTCTAGCACAATTCTCATTATTTAGCAGTTATGGTGGCATAGCCTGTGACACGTATCACAGGCTGTGTGAGCTATAAAAATTAAAACCTCCTCCCCCGAGTGGGATTTCTTCGCTCAGAGCACGCAGACCCCGCTGGGGAAGGGCTGACATTTGTGTGCGGTAGAGCGCTCGGCTGGGGGTGTGGGATGCGGTGTTCCTGAAGCGATACATTCGAGCCGTGTGGGAAATGAACTGCGGAATTCCTCCCCTTGATTCCTGAAGGGGGCTCTGAAGGAGACAGATTAGGATGCAGAGTGCGGCCCGGGAGGCGGAGGGCGAGGGGGCGAGCCAAGGACACCAACCCGAAAGCGCTTCGGAAAGCCCAGTGCGGAGCGAGTTCCCAGGTTCCTCGGCCTCGCCTTCCCCACCACCCACCCCCGCCCAAAGCTCAGGCTGACCCCGAAGGGCAGGCAGTAATCCTCAGGGCAGCTAGTGCAGGGGGCCCACCGTGAGCCCTCGACCTCCCTGG